CGAAGCATGAGATCATGACCTGAGCCGAAGTCGGACACTCAACCAACTGAGCCACCCAGGCACCCCAAGAAGTGCACTTCTTAATCCCCATCACCTAATTAACTTATCCCCCCACCAACTTCCCCTCTGGTAATCATCAGTTTGTTCTCTAGAGTTAAGAGTCTGTTTTTTTATTTTTTTCTCAGTCTCTCATTTTTTTCCCCCTTTGCTTGTTTGGTTTCTCAAATCCACATATGAGTGAAATCATATGTTAATTTGTCTTTCTCTGACATTATACATTAAGCATTATACTTTCTAGCTCCATCCATGCCTTTGCAAATGACAAGATTTCATTCTTTTTTTATGGCTGAATAATATTCCATTGTGTGTGTATAGATACAGATAGATGTAGATGTAGATGTAGATGTAGATATAGATTGAATTGGTGAATACCTCCAGCTTTGCTTTGTTTTTTCAAGATTGCTTTGACTATTCAGGGTCTTTTGTGTTTCCATACACATTTTAGAATTGTTTGTTCTACTACAGTGAAAAATGCTATTGGTATTTTGATAGGGATTGCATTAAATGTGTATACTGGAAAGCCTGGTATTTTCCATTAAGACAGGCACCAATCTAATATCACCTGAATGCTAACAGCAATATCTTTTTGACTTCCAAAATAAAAACAAGTTTTCAAAACCTGCTTAATTTTGAAACTCACCTTTTGGCTTCCATGGGCTGGGCTGGCCCCAAGTTCATGGCCACCCACTACATCTGCTGGTTTCTAAATAAATTGCAGTATTAACCTCAATTTGTCATTTACTGTGCAGACTGACACTTTTCAAAGCAGATGGTCTTGTGTTTTCCTTGACAGAACACACACTTCAGGACCATAATATTTAGCTTCAGACCTACCTTAAAAACTAATGTCACCCAAAGCAGTGAAAGCCACTTGCTAATTATACAGAGGTTTTTTTTGATACTGGTTTCCTAAGGCCAATGCAAATCAGAAGGATATTATATTTTCCAGTTACAATTCTGTCTGTGGAGCCCAGAAAGCTATTGTTTATATTCCGCATTTGAATGAGAAGTGCTGGCTGGGTGGCACCATGGCGCTGTGCTTGGCTGCCCTGCTGCATGCCAGGGCCAGGATGTACCCTGGTTCCCATGCCCTTTCATTCTACTCCTTCGTTGGCTGACCCCACATGCTGCCTGTCCCTCCAGCTGAGGCCAGAGGAGCAGGTCCCTCATCTCCGCAGACAGATTTGTCCACAAAAGAGAGGGAGGAGAGGGGGAAAGGAGCCTGGATTCATTTTGTTTTTGTTTATTCAGATTTTAAATATGAAAATACTCCTTGTATTCTCTCCTACCCTAAAGTCTCCATAGCTCAGTTAAAATCACTTCTTCATCTTGTCAAATATGCCTCAATAAAGCTTGGGGGGTTTGGGAATTAGTTCTTAATCTAATAAGAACTTAAGAATAAAAAACATGAAGATATCTCAGTGCCCTCATTAGCCTCCTTGATGTGAAATAGAATATGTTCTTGTCTTCATCCTCCAAAGAGCAATTGTAGCCACTTCAAAAATAAAAACTTCCTTTACACAAAATTTCAAGCACAGTTCCCCTTTAATAAAAGATAATACTAAAGAATTAACTCCACATCCCAGATGATGTCAGTTTTCTGTACTTGAATAACTTCTTACCAATGTTCTAGGGTTATCTTTTCCAAATTTTTC